TTTCCAAAATCTCCAAAGTCACAATACAGCAGTTTATTGGAGACTAATGAATTCAGAATTCAGGCAGTGACAGGGTAACAGTATGAGTAATCATCTGTATAGCATATGTCCAACAACCTGACAGTTTTATCTTTTTAATTAGGGCTACTTATCAGGTGAGTTGGACCTCATGGACCTGAAATTTTAGTTATAGCGTATTGTTACGACCTGTTTCGAGACTTGGAGATGAAGATCCAAATGCAGCTTTATTTAAGATTAGTCGTACAGGCAGGGTCGAGAATTAGCAGACAGGACAATGGAGAATACACAGTGGGAATCCGGGAAACAGGCAGAGGTCAGGGCAGGCAGCAGTAATCAAAATCCAAGAACAATCCAACGTCAAAAACCAGAAAACAAACACGGAAAACGCTCAGAAATGCAGTGTAACACTTAAACAAGACTTCGCAAACACTGAACGTGAACACAAGGTATATATAGACACACTAACAGGATGAGACACAGGTGAATGCAATCAGTGAATGAGGTACAGGTGAATGTGATCAGTGATGATGAGTCCGGGCAGTGAGTTCTGGGAAATGTAGTTTGTGTGAAACATAGTCTTATCTGGAGTGCCCTCTGGTGGCTCAAGAGGGCACTCCAGCTGGTAACCGTTACATAGCCCCCCTTTAAGGAGCGGATTCCAGACGCTCCTCAAAATGTCCAGGAGGGAGGTGGAGCGGAGGCGGACCTGGGGGCGGGATGGAGGGCCAGGCCCGTGGAGCGGAAGAGGACCTGGAGACTGCGGCGGAGCTGGCTGTGGAGGCGACCAGGTCAGAGCAGGCTGTGCAGGCGGCCAGGGCGGAGCAGGCTGTGCAGGCGGCCAGGGCGGAGCAGGTTGTAAGGGAGGCCAAGGCGGCGGAGACCCCTCGGGCGGCCACGCCGGCGAAGACCCCTCGGGAGGCCACGGCGGCAAGGACCCCTCGGGCAGGTACGGCGGCGAAGACCCCTCGGGCGGCCACGGCGGCGAAGACCCCTCAGGCGGCCACGGCGGCGAAGACCCCTCGGGCGGCCACGTTGGCGAAGACCCCTCGGGCGGCCACGGCGGCGAAGACCCCTCGGGCGGCCACGGCGGTGAAGACCCCTCGGGCGGCCACGGCGGTGAAGACCCCTCGGGCGGCCACGGCGGTGAAGACCCCTCGGGCGGCCACGGCGGTGAAGACCCCTCGGGTGGCCACGGCTGTGAAGACCCCTCGGGCGGCCACGGCGGTGAAGACCCCTTGGGCGGCCACGGCGGTGAAGACCCCTTGGGCGGCCTGGGCGGTGATGCCCTCTCAGGACCAGACACCGGCTCGGGACCAGACACCAGCTCAGGAACAGACACCGGCTCAGGAACAGACACTAGAACAGAAATGGTCACAAACACAGAAACAAACTCAGGAACAGACACTGGGTCGGCCATCTTGTCCGGAGACACTGGGTCGGCCATCTTGTCCGGAGACACTGGGTCGGCCATCTTGTCCGGAGACACTGGGTCGGCCATCTTGTCCGGAGACACTGGGTCGGCCATCTTGTCCGGAGACACTGGGTCGGCCATCTTGTCCGGAGACACTGGCTTGGAGGCGGCCATCTTGTCCGGAGACACTGGCTTGGAGGCGGCCATCTTGTCCGGAGACACTGGCTTGGAGGCGGCCATCTTGTCCGGAGACACTGGCTTGGAGGCGGCCATCTTGTCCGGAGACACTGGCTTGGAGGCGGCCATCTTGTCCGGAGACACTGGCTTGGAGGCGGCCATCTTGTCCGGAGACACTGGCTTGGAGGCGGCCATCTTGTCCGGAGACACTGGCTTGGAGGCGGCCATCTTGTCCGTAGACACTGGCTTGGAGGCGGCCATCTTGTCCGGAGACACTGGCATGGAGGCGGCCATCTTGTCCGTAGACACTGGCTTGGAGGCGGCCATCTTGTCCGTAGACACTGGCTTGGAGGCGGCCATCTTGTCTTTAGACACTGGCTTGGCAGAAGTGACGTGGAGCGTCTCTGGCTCGGCAGAAGTGACGTGGAGCGTCTCTGGCTCGGCAGAAGTGACGTGGAGCGTCTCTGGCTCGGCAGAAGTGACGTGAAGCGTCTCTGGCTCGGCAGAAGTGACGTGGAGCGTCTCTGGCTCGGCAGAAGTGACGTGAAGCGTCTCTGGCTCGGCAGAAGTGACGTGGAGCGTCTCTGGCTCGGCAGAAGTGACGTGAAGCGTCTCTGGCTCGGCAGAAGTGACGTGGAGCGTCTCTGGCTCGGCAGAAGTGACGTGGAGCGTCTCTGGCTCGGCAGAAGTGACGTGAAGCGTCTCTGTCTCGGCAGGGCTGACATGGAACTCTGGCTGGGCTGTCTCGGCAGGACGAGACTCTGGCTGGGCTGTCTCGGCAGGACGAGACTCTGGCTGGGCTGTCTCGGCAGGACGAGACTCTGGCTGGGCTGTCTCGGCAGGACGAGACTCTGGCTGGGCTGTCTCGGCAGGACGAGACTCTGGCTGGGCTGTCTCGGCGGGACGAGACTCTGGCTGGGCTGTCTCGGCGGGACGAGACTCTGGCTGGAAGGTGAGCGCAGGCTCGGCAGGGCTGACGGTGAGCGCGGGCTCGGCATGAAGCTCTGGCATAACGTGAAGCTCTGGTTGAGTAGATACCACGGGTTCATGGATCTCCTTCTCTACAACGCCCACAGTAAACAAGGAACCGCTTAGCAAAAGGGCCTGGTTAATATAGTCCTCTAATGTCCCGTGACGATTGTGTAAGGGCATGAGTGAACTGAGGGGTTCAGAGAGTCCTCCTCGGAAAAAGATCATTAAACACTCTGTGCTCATTGAGGCGAAATGGGCCAGTTCAATGAACTCAGAAACATAGTCCTCGACGGACCGATTCTCCTGACGGAGACGCAAGATCTGGACGTCTGGGCTTCTTGTTGGCATGGCTGCTGGATCTTGGTGTGGCGAAGTCTTCTGTTACGAACTGCTCCGAGACTTGGAGATGAAGATCCAAATGCAGCTTTATTTAAGATTAGTCGTACAGGCAGGGTCGAGAATTAGCAGACAGGACAATGGAGAATACACAGTGGGAATCCGGGAAACAGGCAGAGGTCAGGGCAGGCAGCAGTAATCAAAATCCAAGAACAATCCAACGTCAAAAACCAGAAAACAAACACGGAAAACGCTCAGAAATGCAGTGTAACACTTAAACAAGACTTCGCAAACACTGAACGTGAACACAAGGTATATATAGACACACTAACAGGATGAGACACAGGTGAATGCAATCAGTGAATGAGGTACAGGTGAATGTGATCAGTGATGATGAGTCCGGGCAGTGAGTTCTGGGAAATGTAGTTTGTGTGAAACATAGTCTTATCTGGAGTGCCCTCTGGTGGCTCAAGAGGGCACTCCAGCTGGTAACCGTTACACGTATATAACACATATGGCCTTCATTTGGATTCCATGAGAAACAGACATACATTGCACCCAATTTCTTTATCAAGTTGTGCTTAACAGTGCAGCTGTCAGACAAACGCATTAGTTATTTTTAATAATGATAATAATATGAATAACAATAATAAAAAAATCAATTTAGCCTATTGAAGTGTGCAACAGTTTTTAGAATGTTGCAGGTAACCCAAGAAATTTTAAATGAATCCCTAACCAATCACAGTTAGGCATCAATTTGAAATTAATTCCTAACCAATCACAGGCATCAATTTCCTCCGCTCTACCCTCTTGTGGAAAGACCTCTCACCCGTTCCACTCCACTCCAGCAGCCATTATACTGTCTGCGCGGGCACTGGCCTGCACACCTTTCAACATCTGGATATACCTGCTGTGGAAGGTGAGTGAACAGAGGTAACGAAAATATAAATAAATATTGGTGTTTATTAGTTTTATTTTATTATAGGTGGACTGGGCTGCGCGAGAATTTCTACCTGGCCTACTATTTAACTACCAAAGTAACAGTTAATTTACCTAGTTGATGTAGTTAAAAGTGACTTTATATAATAACTACTAGTACAAGTAGTGATATAGGAATGATCCCTCAGCGCACATTTGTCAGACTGAAATGCACGTGCGCCGGCTGTCCGGTTCGCTGGGGGTATGGCCGCTGTTGTTGGAGGAGTCGGGAAACGACTAGCATGTGAATGCATTAATTTATATTAATTTTTACAGAGCCCTTCACATGACACGCAAAATATGTACACAGTATATATTTTTTTACATAGTGGCTATAACGTTACTTGTCCTTATTTGTCGTGGATTCTAGATCACTATTGTAAAATGTGCTTGTGGGACGTCAATGTAAGTTATAAGGATTTTCGACAGCCAATTTTAAAATACAAAGAAATAAGCTTAATAATGATATGATTAAATGTTTATTTATCTAGATGAATTGGCAGTAGCCTTAAAAAATGTCATGTGGTCCGAATGTGATTTATTTTATTTTATTTCCTGCTTAACCATTTTATTTTTTACAAGTTCTGGTAACACTTTACAATACGGGTGCACTTAAGCATTAATTCATACTACTTAACTAATGCACAGATAATCACGAGTCAATGTATGACACAATTATACTGCATCTGCAACTAATAACGTCTATATTAATATTTTAAGTAATATATTAATTAATTGATTAAATGTGCCATAATGTATTAATTCATGAATAATATATTTTATTAACAGTGTAAATAAATGTGTAAATTACCACAATGTGTCAAAGCTATGTACTTCAGTTGTTGGCTTTAATTAATCATTAGCTTATGATTTGCAAGGGTATCATTATTTAAATATTACTAATTGTTAAGTAATATGTCATAGTACAATAATGTGGAAGTCAAAACCAAAATGACATAGCCTATTGCAATTAGTTAATAGTCAATACATTACATATGGCATACATTAACTCATGATTATCTGTGCAATGTGCATTGTTACCACAGTTCTCCGAAATTAAAGTTTGCCTTTCTTTTCTTTCTTTTGAGTTAAATGTAAATAATGATCTCATGTTTTTGTTTTATAAGGGCAGGCATCAACAGTTGAGGAAATGTCCTTGATAAATCTCTCAACTGCCTGGAGGAAACGCAGATACCGGTAAGGACATACAGTCATATATAATGCAATTTTTATAATGTGCAGTGTTTCAATCCCCGTGCGACTTGCAACCGTCATGGGGATACACTGTTAACCTTTTTTTGTGTTTAAACTAAAATACTGTTCCTCTAATTTCAGATTAATAGCTTGTCCAATGATGGAGAAATACATTTAAAGGACAATGGGAAAAGGATCATGGAGAAGTAAGTTTTTATATTAGCAGTTCTTGGCAGAATCATGTGTTATTTTATCTGGATGTTGTCACAGACAAGTTGATGAAGTTGACTATCCATCCGTCTGTCTGTTTAATTAGAGATGTGTGTGTGATGATGACTAATTTTAAAGTCATTTAAACAGAGGTTTAGTAATCGACTAGGCTTGCTACGATAGTCGGTGTTGAGGCAGGCATACACGGTGCAAGTTCGGACACTCGTAATGGAGGTCGTAAGATATTGCATTTCAGGAGTCAGTTAACTTGATAATCACGTCAAAACAGCCGGTACACGGCACGACTGTCCTGCACAAATCTTATCTAATATTAATTTCTGTCACTGCTGTGAACTGACCACTGCATAGAATATGAAAAATATGAATATCTTCGTGAATCAGCTGTCAACAACAGGCCTAAACCAGCCATGGTACCAGCACAAAAACACAATCATTAAAATATCGAGACATATTTTTGTCAATATTGCGCACCCCTAATGTAAGGTATTTTTTATTTTTTTTATTTCTTCAGGTCTTAACAATCCTTAAATTTGCCTTTTAAAAAAGTGTGCATAAACCCTACTGGTGAAAAACAGGCAGACTCCCCGAATTTTTTAAACATTTTTTAAAATTATCGGGAAGTGCTCGGCTTGGCTCGTAATTCCTCTCACACGTTGCGAACATGTGAGCACCATCGATATCCATGCGATCATCGGCGAGCGCGTAAATCTTGAGCCGAACAAGAGTCAACACACAGATCAGTAACATGAGTCAGTTTCTTTCATCACAAGAGTGAGGAGCTGACTGACAAGGTGACTGCGGAATAATGTGTCACAGCGAAATGTAAAAGCGCCTATTTAAGTGAATTTGTCATTGCACTGTTTTGTTGTTGTGTAATTTAAAAATGAAACTAACATGTGCACGGCCACACGTGTCAACGTGCACGGACTGAGCAGAACAGAAATGTACAGAACTCCCTTTGACATGTGTGGCCGTGCACATGTTAGTTTTGTTTTCAAATTAGCACCAATTCACCTTTGGCTAAGCCCCGCCCCCCTAAGTTACTGTTGTTACATCTGTCAAACTTCATCTGCACTCTGCATGGCTTATGCTGTAACAGCTCTTCCTGCTGAAATGTTATCAAACTTTTATAAAGCAGCAAATAAAGTGTCCGATAAAAGTAGGCAAAAGGGGCTGCAATATGCGTTCGAAGGCTATATTCAAGACATACAGGTGAAATGCAAGAAACAACAAGGCATCCAAATACGTTTACGTTTGCCTTTAAATTAGCTTTTTAAAAGCCCCGCCAGTGATACCGGTATTGCCGGTGTTGTCCACACGTTGATTAGCCGGTGGGAAAATATCCTCGCCGTCACATACCTATAACTGACTAGTCTAAAATTAACAAACCCCTGCAGTTAAAATAGGAACACTGTGTACATCTGATTCAATTAAAACACTCAATTTACCATTCCAATATGCAATATCCAAATGTGATATTAAATATTTAGATTTTTCTATATGTTTAAATCCTTCCTGACCTTTGGAATCAACACCAGGCCAACAGTGGAACCAGTGTGACATCTAGATATGACAAACTTACTAAACTATAACAATCGTTATATAATGTGTTGTATATAATTAATTATTTGGACATTTCAATTATCTTCCTTTTGTATCCACAGGTTGATGACAAAGGAGGTAATGGCCAGTTTCAATATGAAGGGCGGGAAAGGAACATCTTTACAATGTTGTCACAGGTTAAAAAAAACTATATATATATATATATATATATATATACAGTATATATATATTGACGATCATGTGTCCCCAGTGAAGCTGACTTTTAATTTTACGGGCGGCCCTGAGCACACAGCGCTCCTATTCTTCGTCTTCATTAGTTTATGCTCTCTGTTTAACAGTTTTGTCTAATACGTTACTGGATATAACCTGTTGTTGGATAGAAAGAAATTAAACTGTATAAGAAAAAGTATTATAGTTTTTGCTTTTATATTATTAGTAACAAACAGGCAAACACTATTAATAGTTTCTCATATTCAGCAAATATACGCATTTATATAATTTCAACAAATCTTTGAATATTAAAAAAAAAACATTTAATTTCACAATCCTTGCAGACTTTGTCGAATCCAGCTGTCAGATATTCTGAAGTGTACATAGACGTTCAATCCCGGTCAGTCCGTGTGAATAAGTTCAGCTTCACTGGGGACACATGATCGACAAACTTTAAACCTTTGATTTCAAACTATGCTGGCGCTATATTCAGTTGCCCTCTGCCATATTCATGTCATTTACACTGTGTGCTAAATGTAAAATGAGTGTCACGTTGTCTTTATTTGAAAAAAAAAAGTGTGGTTCCTAGTGCGCACAAACTTACTGAGTGCCAGGTTGATTGCATTATCTTTTTATTCATATTTTTTTCAAACAATTTCTTTATATGTGAAAAATACTGTAATAGCATATAATTACAGAATCAAGAAGTTACAATCTAAAATAAGGATGTTTAATTTATAGATGTTTTTAATTCATTTGCAGATTATTTATTTAAATATCAATTCATATCTTAGTATATCAGACATGTATCGTTCGTTGCCAGTCTTAATTTTCTTGATAGTGCAAGTGCATCTCAAAATTGGGAAGATCACGATTATGATCATGTATCGTGATTGTTTCTTATAAGATTGTGATATGAAATTTTGGTAAGAATGCCCACACCTACTCTAACTGTTGTTTTTACATTCAATCTGATGTCTTTTAAATGTTCATTTAGCTTAAGATTAACATTTTTGCTTGGAATGTCTGATCGCCATTTGTGAACAGCATCAAAAGAAATATCTCTCTTTTGATGAGTTACAGCATGTACATGCAAGAATGTATGTGTATGGCCCTTAAAGCTAGGGTAGAATTTTTTTTCCAAAAACTTGTTGAAAGTGTGTTCCTATCCTGGTAGCTACTGTATATACATATATAGGATGTCCTACCTGTTTGTCAATATATATATTTGCATACCTCTACGCAACTTGTTTGCAAAGTGAAACGTCATCAACGTGTTCAATATATGCATAGAAATTGAGAATAGAAGCCAAACATTAGCGATTTCTCTTGAACCAACATTTGAAAAGGGTTTTATTTAAAAAAAAAATAAAAATAATTATGAAATTGTATTTTTGCTAAATGTTTTTTTTTAACCTTTTTTTTCATTATTCACATTCATTATTATTGTAATGTCTCACCAGTGAATGAGATACGAGTTAATCTAAAAGCATTGCACTCTCTTCCACCAACTCTTTGGTTATTTGGCTTTTGAGAGGCTCTGAATCATATCGATTGCTTTCCAAGCTAGCTTGCTATTGCTAGCCCCTCTGAAATGTCCTACCCTAGCTTTAAGACTGTTTGGAATTCAATGTTTTAATGCTTAATGTAGTGCATCATATCTTATATTCCCTATAAATTTTATTTTTCAAATATTTCTTACAGAGTGTCTAGAGGACTTCAAAGGAGACGGAGGCAAACATTGGAGCGGCTGTCGCCGTATGTTTAAAATATGCCCCAGACAGGCAGGGGCGGAGGTTGCAGGAAAAAAAAATTGTACGATTTTAGAATAAGGATAATAATGTTAAGTATAAATGGTTGAAAACCTTCTGTTAAAATAATGTAAAAAAAAAAAGAATAAAATAAAAGGTTATTTTATAATCCATTTAATTTCTTTGTCATTTATCTAATAAACATCATTTGTGGATTACAGTTCACTAAAAATTAAATTACTTTTCTGTTTGCTCTTGTCTTAAGATAAATACTTTTGGATTGTCTTGCATTGGATCTTGACCTCTGTTTGAACCTTGTTGTTACATGAAGTTTCTTTTGATGAAACTTCATGTAGTTTTATGTCATGCCAACAAAATTACCATATATTTCTTTAAAGTTGGAATTTGACAGCTTAATGTTGTGTTTTGACAGATATCTGACATCAAAAATTCATTGTCTGTCCACGGTTGGACGTCAGCCCAACATGTGAGTTTGATGTTTAGCTTAACATTGGGGTCTGACACTTAAAACTGATTCATTTTCAACCAAAAGGCAATGTCCAACGTTGCAGGTTTAACCAACACCGGGTTGACGTAACTCAACGTCAGACTGACGTTTATCTTCAATGTTGGACAGACGTTGCAATTTGGTTGAAAATGGAAATCGGGTTGATGTAAAAACCCAATGTCAGACTGACGTCAACATCCAATGTTGGACAGACGTTGCATTTTGGTTGAAAATGAAAATCGGGTTGACGTCATAACCCAACGTCAGTCTGTCGTCAATATCCAACGTTGGACAGATGTTGCATTTTGGTTGGAAATGAAAATCAGGTTGACGTCATAACCCAACGTCAGTCTGTTGTCAACATCCAATGTTGGACAGACGTTGCATTTTGGTTGAAAATGAAAATCGGGTTGACGTCATAACCCAACGTCAGTCTGTCGTCAATATCCAACGTTGGACAGATGTTGCATTTTGGTTGGAAATGAAAATCAGGTTGACGTCATAACCCAACGTCAGTCTGTCGTCAATATCCAACGTTGGACAGACGTTGCATTTTGATTGGATATGAAAATCGGGTTGACGTCATAACCCGACGTCATAACCCAACGTCAGTCTGTCGTCAATATCCAACGTTGGACAGACGTTGCATTTTGATTGGATATGAAAATCGGGTTGACGTCATAACCCGACGTCATAACCCAACGTCAGTCTGTCGTCAATATCCAACGTTGGACAGACGTTGCATTTTGATTGGATATGAAAATCGGGTTGACGTCATAACACGACGTCATAACCCAACGTCAGTCTGTCGTCAATATCCAACATTGGACAGACGTTGCATTTTGATTGGATATGAAAATCGGGTTGACGTCATAACCCGACGTCATAACCCAACGTCAGTCTGTCGTCAATATCCAACGTTGGACAGACGTTGCATTTTGATTGGATATGAAAATCGGGTTGACGTCATAACCCGACGTCATAACCCAACGTCAGTCTGTCGTCAATATCCAACGTTGGACAGACGTTGCATTTTGATTGGATATGAAAATCGGGTTGACGTCATAACCCGACGTCATAACCCAACGTCAGTCTGTCGTCAATATCCAACGTTGGACAGACGTTGCATTTTAATTGGATATGAAAATCGGGTTGACGTCATAACCCAACGTCAGAGTAACGTTGGATTCTGACGTCAACCCGATTTTCATATCCAATCAAATTGCAACGTCTACCCAACGTTAGGGTCCAACGTCAATATAACGTCATATTGATGTCCAGTGCCTGCTGGGTTGGGGGATTCTGTAAATTTCCACTGAAACTTGCATATGAAATGAGGTCTGATGATAAAGGGAGATGTAACTAGAGTTCGAGGCTGCCTTTCTGTATTCAGATCAGCCCATGATGTTGTGTTTTTTGTAAAGCTCATGTAGCCCAATATGTTGGGTAAAGTTCTTTGAAACATTTAATGGTTTGCATTGTTAATCTTGTGGAATTCTAATGATACATTTACCTGACATAATAAATTGTTATATTTGGCTATTCTAACAGACTTTGACTTTATTTTCATTAGAGTTAAAAGGAATAGTCAAACATTAACATGTATTTAATGATGCACAGATATCATTGAGAAACCCTTTTCATTTTATGGAGTCAGATGAAACGAGTTAATACATAAGATTAAATGTGTTGCATTTAATTAAACATTACTTTGCCATGGAAAAGACGGAACACGCATAAAACCTTCACCACGAATCGAACTCCGCCATTGCATCGATTTCGTGGCCCATTTTACAAACTAAACAACGGGAAAAGGTTTTTTAGCTTTCCCACTTTGAAAAAAGGACATGGACAGCATGTAGCGGATGTAACAAAAAGGCGTCGGATGGCCTGGGTTGGAGCTGTGCGACGCAAAAACATCACCTTGCAAACATATCTCCGTTTATGTATGTCTCCCAGATAGCAAACTGACATTGAATCAACGTGGAAATATGACATCGAAACAACGTTGATCTGACATTGTTTTGCTCATCGAATTAACGTTGAACCAACGTCAGACGCGTCATTCTTTCAAAACTAACGGAAAATCAACTTGAAATCAACGCGTTGTTTCAACGTTATGAAAGCGAACCAATTTTCGATTTTCATTTAGCTTTGAAGAATGCCGCGTCTGACGTTGGTTCAACGTTAATTCGATGAGCAAAATCAACGTTGTTTCAATGTCAAGAGAGACGTCGTTTCCACGTTGATTCAATGTCAGTTTGCTGTCTGGGCTGCTCTCAACATTTTCATAAAGGTAAGACATAATGCTGATGATGTTGACAAATTTGAAGTATTAGTCTTTTATTGTTTATACTGTAAAATGTTATGCAATTGTCTTATATGGGGCTATAAAATAATTATTTTACTTCACTTCTGCATTTATTAACTAATTAGATATAGATTTTAAATGGAAAAAGGTAAATTTAACAATTTGTAAAGCTTGAAAGTTAACGTTTCTCACTGTGCAGACAAATTTAATTTCACTTGACTTGCAGTCTTGAAAAGTGCAGCACTGTTTTATGGAAGCTTGTTTCCGCCACTGAATAAAAAAATAAAATAAATAATTGCGACTTTTTATCTCACAATTCTGACTTTTTTTCTCACAATTGCGAGATAAAAAGTCCGAATTGCGTGATATAAAGTCGCAATTGCGAGTTATAAAGTCAGAATTGCGAGATATAAAGTCAGAATTGCGTGATATAAAGTCGCAATTGCGAGATAAAAAGTCAGAATTACGAGATATAAAGTCAGAATTGCGTGATATAAAGTCGCAATTGCGAGATAAAAAGTCAGAATTGCGAGATATAAAGTCGCAATTGCGAGTTATAAAGTCAGAATTGCGAGATAAAAAGTCAGAATTGCGTGATATAAAGTCGCAAATGCGAGTTATAAAGTCAGAATTGCGTGATATAAAGTCGCAATTGCGAGTTATAAAGTCAGAATTGTGAAATAAAAAGTCAGAATTGCGAGAAAAAAAATCAGAATTGTGAGATAAAAAGTCAAAATTGTGAGGTATAAACTCGTAATTTTGACTTTGCTCGCATTTCATTCACCACTCAAGTCAAACACGGGACGCTGGAACATATCATTTTATAGCATTTAGAATGGAAAAGATTATAGAGGATTATTTTCGCCTCGGTTTCACAAATAGAGAAATCTTGATTTTATTTGTTGGAATCACACAACATTAAGCATAGGATTGCCACAGGATACAGCCAACTCACAACCCACGTGCTCCCAGTGGTCGACCTTCAATAATGTTTGCTGTTCCCAGCTTATATGGAGTGCAGAATATCTTGCATCCAATTGAACAAACAAAACTGAATATTTGCCAAGAGGAGTGTTTATTTAAAGACTATCCTTGTGACGAGGATGTCTTTCAACTGTGTGTAGAACTCATGACTGAGCATAACCTTGTCATGTCAGATGATGTTTATGAAATTACAGACCTTTACCTCCAGCTTCGCGAATTGATCCTTCAAGGACTGGACGCTGAGGACTAGATTCACCATACTAAATTAATAAACATCACTATAAGCTGTGAAGGTATTGTTTCAATTGTTTTAGTATTTCAGATGACCAAAATATTTAAATTGGAATAAAACTTGAAACTTGAACTTGAAATTTGAAATTTACACCTGTGTCTGTAAGTGTTGAATTGCAGCCTTCCACCACATTACTCTTCCTACCCCCCTTGGACCACTAGAGAGAACACTGGAGTGGCACACGCCCATCTCCTTGAAGTTCACTCTGAGGTAAGAAGAACATTTGCAGAGTTCTGCAAGGAACAGGATTTGCCTCAAATTGGCTAGGCTGGGTGTACTAATTAATTAAAAGAAAGTCTTAATCATTAATAATAATAATAATAATTATTATTATTATATTTCTAAATAAAAATAATATTTCTCTTATTCCTTTGGCATTTTACTTAAATTACTTTGTTACACTGACACTCAGGATATTTAAAGTTGTCCCTTAAATATTTAATGTTTTTTATTTTTTTATTTTTATTTTTTATTAGGTCACAGCCATTCATGAGGCAACAGAGTATCAACGGCTTCACTGGAGCTTCTAGCATGCTGTCAAATTGATATCTTGTTATCTGTTTATTTTCAGAGTTATAACATGGCAAAAGCACAACCATCAGAATAAGAGGCATCTAGATGTAATTAAAACACTTTTAATTACAATTGTAAAAAGTTTGCCTTATTTTTTTATTTTATTTTTCCAGCCACAGTAATTTACATGCATGATTTATTGCATTGAATTATACTGTCAATACTTCAAACTTGAATACAAATGAAGTGCAGCAAGCCTTTTTAGATGTACAAGTCAAGACAATGTTTTGAACCTAAAAACTAATGTATTTATGGCTTGAAACTGTTCAAATTTGATGGATTTCTCTTCTGTTTAACCTTGACTTTCAAGACTTTAAAGGGGCAGGGGACTGAAAATATGAACAAAAATGGGTTTATAGGTAAATTGATGTTATTTGTATTATCCCTGAAATAAATTATTAAGAACTGAATTTCTTATGGTATTTAGATTATTAACTGTAACCTTGTTGTGGTACATTGCTCAAAACAAAACCTTAAACTTTCTTCTCAGAATGGCAGTGCTGTATGTTCTCTAAATCATTTAACACTCACGATGAACCTAAATGGTTGTACTAATTTTACATGGTACATCAGCTTTTCTGTTTTGTGTGCCTCTATAGATGTCACGTGGTGGGTGCAGGCAGAAGAACAGGCAGAGTCCAAAAAGCCCCAATACAACGGTTTAATCATACATAAACTGGATACAGGCAGGCGGAACACAGGGTAACATTAACCGACCAAGACAGACTGAAGGAGGGAGAACTAAATACACAGAGGAATCAGGACTAATGAGGTGCAAACAGGTGAAACAGATGAAACGGGACGCTGAACGGGAGGCTGATGAGGGAGTGAGTTCAGGTGTGGAGACAAGAGGATCCTGGGAAGTGTAGTGCTGATGACAAGACAGACTGGTGCAGACGAAGGACTGTGACATTACTCCCCCCTCCCGGTAGGCGTGACTTCACGCCGTAACATCAATGGGGAGGGGGGGTGGGCGCCCTGGAGGCTGTGGAGGGCGTGGTCTGGAGGAGGAAGCCAGGGCGCAGCAGGCTGAGGGTGTGGCCAGGCTGGAGCAGGCTGAGGGCGTGGCCAGGCTGGAGCAGGCTGAGGGCGTGGCCAGGGCGGAGCAGGCTGAGGGCGTGGCCAGGGCGGAGCAGGATGTGGGCGTGGCCAGGGCGGAGCAGGATGTGGGCGTGGCCAGGGCGGAGCAGGATGTGGGCGTGGCCAGGGCGGTGAGGACCCTTCGGGCGGCCACGGCGGTGAGGACCCTTCGGGCGGCCACGGCGGTGAGGACCCTTCGGGCGGCCACGGCGGTGAGGACCATTCGGGCGGCCGTGGCTGGGACACTGGGCCCCCCCCCCCAAAAAAAAATTTGGGATGAGTCCCCGGATTAGAAGTAGATGGAGAGTAGGCGGTCTCGGGCAGGACGGTCTCGGGCGATGGCTGGACGGCCTCGGGCTGGACGGTCTGGACGGCCTCGGGCTGGACTGGCTGGACGGCCTCGGGCTGGACTGGCTGGACGGCCTCTGGCTGGACTGGCTGGACGGCCTCGGGCTGGACTGGCTGGACGGCCTCGGGCTGGACTGGCTGGACGGCCTCGGGCGATGGCTGGATGGGGCTGGTGGGAACCAGTGGAGAGGGGAGCTCAGGTTCGGGAAGGCTGGACGGGACCAGCGATGTGGGGAGATCTGACTCGGGAGGGCTGGACGGAACCAGCGGGGGAGAGAGTTCAGGCTCGGACGGGCTGGACGGAACCAGCGGAGAGGGGAGATCTGACTCGAGAGGGCTGGATGGAACCAGCAGTGAAGAGGGCTCAGACTGGACGGTCTCTGGCTGGACGGTCTGGACGGTCTCTGGCTGGACGGTCTCTGGCTGGACGGTCTCTGGCTGGACGGTCTGGACGGTCTCTGGCTGGACGGTCTCTGGCGCTGGCTGGATGGTCACTGGCACTGGCTGAACGGTCACTGGCGCTGGCTGGATGGGGCTGGACGGAACCCGTGGTGAGGGGAGTTCAGGCTCGGGTGGGCTGGACGGAACCAGCGGTGAGGGGAGTTCAGGCTCGGAAGAGCTGGACGGAACCAGCGGAGGAGAGAGTTCAGGCTCGGAAGGGCTGGACGGAACCAGCGGAGAGGGGAGACCTGACTCGAGAGGGCTGGACGGAACTAGCAGTGAAGAGGGCTCTGACCGGTGGGTGATGATGGCAGGTGTGGTGATGATGGTGGGTGTGTGTGGTTGAGTGGTGCTGTCATCTTCAGCCTCACCAACGGTGAAGGCTGACCCACTCAACCACAACACATGGTCCAGGTATTCGGGGAAGGTTCCTGGAAACGCTGCTGCTGGAGCTTGCTGGTACAGATGATCGTCCAAACCCAGCCAAAAGACTGACTTTAGGACGTCATCAGACCAACTTACCCCAGCAGAGAGCTCCAGGAACCTGCCGACATACTCCTCAGCTGAGCGTCCGTCTTGGAATACGTTGAGGGTGGTGAGAGCCGGGGTTAGGAGAAGCCCCATGCTGTCACTGTCAAGGGTCGGTCAATCTGTCACGGGGTGGGTGCAGGCAGAAGAACAGGCAGAGTCCAAAAAGCCCCAATACAACAGTTTAATCATACATAAACTGGCTACAGGCAGGCGGAACACAGGGTAACATTAACATTGACCGACCAAGACAGACTGAAGGAGGGAGAACTAAATACACAGAGGAATCAGGACTAATGAGGTGCAAACAGGTGAAACAGATGAAACAGGACGCTGAACGGGAGGCTGATGAGGGAGTGAGTTCAGGTGTGGAGACAAGAGGATCCTGGGAAGTGTAGTGCTGATGACAAGACAGACTGGTGCAGACGAAGGACTGTGACAATAGAGAGCTACAACTGAAATAGATTTTAAAAGTTCAGAATTGGAATATTCTTTAAAAAAGACAGTCACAATTGCAAACTTTATTGAGCATTATTTATTGGTTTGTGGAAGTCACTCCATCTTTAATGCACAAAAAACATTGGCACCATGTATGCAGATTGTGTTGGTATTTTATGCATAGTGGTTAACCAAACATGACAACATGTGGTACAAGTAAGAATAATACAAACCACAGTAAAACAATTTCTATAAAACAATTTCACAAAACAGTTTAACCTATATCATGTACTAAAGGTTCACAATAATGTGACACCCTTTTGTATACAAGCACAAAGTTAAATTATGAACACTGTATAAGTGTTCAAAGCCATCTACAGTATCTGACTGAAAAGGTAACATGAACAATTGTACGTAAACAGTAGGTTGCACCTATGTGATATCTTTCACTATTGAAATTCATTAACAAATTAAAGCTGCAAGCAGCGATGGGCGGGCCCTCGCACCTGTAGCACATCGGGGTCTGAGGCGGCCGTGTTGCATTTTCTGCAGCTCAGCCAGTGCGGATGTGCATTTGCTACGCTGCTTCGTTAAAGGTCACTTCCTGTTGCCAGGAGGTGGCGCTATGACTGTGGGTGAATGTCGGCATGTAGATTTGTTCAGGGCGGGACTCTTGTCAAACGTGTTAAATTTCGTGCAGATCTGGGCATTTACAGCCAAGTTACTACAACTTCCTGTTTCATGGCGAATCATCGACGCCACGGACACACCCATCGACGAAAACGCGCAGATAGCACAACTTTACATCGTCAATGCCTTTAGAAAGTACAGCAGAAATTTGAAGTTGATCCGACTAAATCCCTAGGAGGAGTTTGTTAAAGTACGGAGTGTGTAAATCTTCCCAAATCGGTCGCCAAATTCAAAATGGCGGACATTCTGTCGAGTTTAGGGTAAGGGTTCTTGAGGCTTTTTTGTGCGTCTGGTCATGGTAGATGCACCACAGAAATTTCGTACATGTCGGTCAAACAAGCGGCGGGGGCTGCTTCATTAAAGGTCACTTCCTGTTGCCAGCAGATGGCGCTATGACTGTGGGTCAATATCGGCATGTAGATTTGTTCAGGGCGGGACTCTTGTCAAATGTGTAAAATTTTGTGCAGATCTGAGCATTTACAGCCAAGTTACTACAACTTCCTGTTTTATGGCGAATCTTCGACGCCACGGACACGCCCATCGACGAAAACGCGCAGATAGCACAACTTTACATCGTCAATGCCTTTAGAAGGCACAGCAGTAATTTGAAGTCGATCTGACTAAATCCCTAGGAGGAGTTCGTTAAAGTACGGAGTGTGTAAATCGTCCAAAAATGGCCGCCAAATTCAAAATGGCGGACTTCCTGTCGAGTTTAGGGTATGGGTTCTTGAGGCTTTTTTGTGCGTCTTGATATAATACACGTCCCCACCAAATTTCGTGCATGTAAGTTGCACGTGGACGAGGGGCTAATTATTTCCAATTTTCTAGGTGGCGCTAGCGAGCCATTTTGCCCCGCCCATCCGCGAAACCCACAAAATACGAAATGTTTCACCAGTCCTGACATGAGTGCCAAATTTGGTGAGTTTTTTAGCATGTTGCGGCCCCGAAAATGGCGCCTACTTTTCAGAAAAAAAAATAATAAAAAAAAATTAAAAAAATTAAAGCTGCAAGCAGCGATGGGCGGGCCCTCGCACCTGTAGCGAGTCGGGGTGTTAGGCGCCGCGTTGCATATTCTGGAGCTCAGCCGGTGCGGCTGTGAATTTGCTATGCTTCTTCTTTAAAGGTCACTTCCTGTTGCCAGCAGGTGGCGCTATGTCTGTGGGTGAATGTCGGCATGTAGATTTGTTCAGGGCGGGACTCTTGTCAAATGTGTAAAATTTGGTGCAGATCTGGGCATTTACAGCCAAGTTACTACAACTTCCTCTTTCATGGCGAATCATCGACGCCACGGACACACCCATCGACGAAAATGCGCAGATAGCACAACTTTACATCGTCAATGCCTTTAGAAGGTACAGCAGAAATTTGAAGTTGATCCGACTAAATCCCTAGGAGGAGTTCGTTAAAGTACGGAGTGTGTAAATCTTCCCAAATGGGTGGCCAAATTCAAAATGGCGGACTTCCTGTCGAGTTTAGGGTATGGGTTCTTGAGGCTTTTTTGTGCGTCTGGTCATGGTAGATGCACCACAGAAATTTCGTACATGTCGGTCAAACAAGCGGCGGGGGCTGCTTCATTAAAGGTCACTTCCTGTTGCCAGCAGATGGCGCTATGACTGTGGGTGAATATCGGCATATAGATTTGTTCAGGGCGGGACTCTTGTCAAATGTGTAAAATTTCGTGCAGATCTGAGCATTTACAGCCAAGTTACTACAACTTCCTGTTTCATGGCGAATCATCGACGCCACGGTCACACCCATCGACGAAAACGCGCAGATAGCACAACTTTACATCGTCAATGCCTTTAGAAGGTACAGCAGAAATTTGAAGTTGATCCCACTAAATCCCTAGGAGGAGTTCGTTAAAGTACGGAGTGTGTAAATCGTCCCAAATCGGTCGCCAAATTCAAAATGGCGGACTTCCTGTCGAGTTTAGGGTATGGGTTCTTGAGGCTTTTTTGTGCGTCTGGTC